TTCCTGGTAATCTTGGGGCAACAAAGCAGTTTGTCTGAAATAATTTTATGTTCTTCAAGCAGACAGAAACATTTTTAATATTATTAGAACAAGAAGCTTTAAAAATATTCCTCTTTTATCAAAACTACTCATGGCATAGATGGGGGTAGTCTCTTCAGAAGTCAAACCAAATTACCTAATATTACTCAAAATGATTAATCCTTGGAAAATAAAAAAAATCAGTTACCCCCAAATAATGTTTTCCAGACTGCGGTTTGTACCAGAAAGAATTTATTTTGGTCTGGCCGTTCTAGCAGGTGAAAAAAATAGGAAACTTACTTCAGGAAGTGAAAAGCAAGGAATTACAAGATCCTGCCCGACATCATTTGTCATCATTAACAAATTCTTTATCACACAGGATTGCACACAAAGAGGAAGAATGGATAATGCCTTAGCAGAAAGACACTTCAAGCTTTGCTGCTATGGGCTTCCATTCTGTGCGAGGCTGATACCCAACCTGCAAGGTCACAAACCTCTACAGAAGAATAGCAGAAGCTGTTATTGTCTACTGATGAATGACCTTTAAACAAATTGTTACCTCTTTGAAGAATAATACGTAAAAGCAGTCAATATACTTCTATTATGACGCTCTAATACTTGGCCTACTTTTAGAATTTGTTATGCCGAAGTCTAACCCAGTGACCGACAATGACCAACATGGAGCTTTAATGCGGAAGGCTTTCCATGGCTAGGCTACACCACATGGCCAAGCTGTGGTAACACAAGGGCTGCTAGATAACTCAAATGACAGCCTTTCGGATGTCTCTATGGCTACTAAAACTAATACCATCAAATTACACAGCTGGATTCCTGGCACAACAGGGGTCTGTAACACAGCAATGGGCTTCCTGGGGAGAAACTGTCATCACCTGCCTACTTTCTTCCCATCAGCCCCTGAGGTGTGAGGTACGCGTCTTCGGAGTCTTGACCATATGATTTTGCTGTCTGACTCATGGAGCCAGGCTGGTCAAGAGTCTATGGCAAATCTCACACAAATTCATCTCAACTAAGTACGAAGGCCCTTAGGTGCATATCCATGGGGCACCGATCACATCCAGTTTCAAATTAAGTCAATGGGAAAAGAAAATTCCAGCAGTAGAAAGGAGCAAAATTAGAAAAATAGTCCAAAAATTATGCAGCTAGGAAGGGTTGAAACATTATTATTTTTGGATTTTATATTTTTGGTAGGAATCTTGTATTCAGCTTTTTTTGAAGTGTACGTAGAAATGTTTCATTTACTGAATCTGCTGACTCAAGATTATAAATATTTTATTACTGTTTTAATAATAACACATTTGGAGATAAAAGAATGACAAATTTTTTACAAATTATTTTTTGACAGTAGGAACTTGAGGATCAGAAATTTTAAGCAATTTTCCTCTGGTTTAGTGGGCTTATAGAAGGTAAGCCTGAAGAAGCCTACAAGGCACATCTCAGATCAGACATCCGAACCTGAAAAGCACTAACAAATAAAAAATATATTCTGCAAATTTGACTTTTTATCATGATTGGACACTTCTGTGCTACTTAACTTTTGGTAAGTCAGGTAACTTCTCTGACCTTTTGTTCCTCTGCTAAATGGAAATACAATATTTATACACCACCTTAAGCCAGTGAGAAGCAGAGAAAACAAAATTTGCAGGTACAATTTAAGCACAAAGTAGCAACAAAGTAGCTAGTGGATAATCAGGTCTCAAATGGTAATAAAAATACCAATGCAGAGATAAATTAGGCCTCTTGATAGCTGGAACCCAGCCTTGGACTTAATAAATCATATAATATGGAAACAGCATTTGAAAAATGCAAATGTTTGATTTATTTACCTTTTTTTACAGAAATTAACCTGCATCTTTCACACTTCAAAAAAAAAAAAAGTCCTTTTATATTTTCTTTAATAGTTTCAAAGTTGCAGAATTTGTTCCAAATTTGTTAGTTTTGGTAACTCAGAAATAGCCAGGTTTTAAACACAGCAGAGAAAGAATTGCATGTTTCTATAAGTTCAGGACGATTCTCTCAGGATTGTGTATAAAAATGACTTTTTGTGCATGTTCTCTCTGTGCTTTAGCTTTCCAATTTATATCATGGCAAAAATAATATTTTCCTAATACTTGAAAATGTACAATAATCCACATTATTCATACACACACACTTCCTGAAACTTTTCTGGTAGGAGGTTTCCTTTCATTCTAATTTTGCAGTGTCAGCGAGTAGATATTTATACAAGTTGCACAGCTGGCTAAGAGATACAGAAATCTAACCCATGGGACTGAGGAATTCTTTGCCTGTTGGAGTTTTTCTACTAATTGTTTTCATATGTACAATACAAGCTTATATCAACTAAGGAGAAAAATTACGGCATGGAAAAAAGCAGCTGCTCTTCAGTCATTTTGTAACATGAACTAAATCTTTAGGGAAGAGTATTTTAGAATAAAGTAGACAGAAATTAAATTATTCTCCTGTTAGAACTCTTGTAGATATGAACTGAACATCTTCTCGCTTATTGTAATACAAAAATGAAAAGTAATGAAAAAATTACATGCTAAAGGAGCATACTTTGTTTTTCCTCCCTTTTCTAAACAG